TCGAGGCCCTCCAGTCGACGGTTTCGCTCTCGCGCACTGACGAAGCGTCCTGCGCTGCCACCAATTGGTTGGAAATTCAAGTGTGTATCGAATAGGGCACTCCAAAAATGGCTGGTGTCCGTTGGGTGTCCGATTGAAACCCAACAAAGGGACCCCCCACAATAAAACCACAGGTCACTGGATTTCCCCTTAGGTTGCAATTTACTGGTGGAAACGATCGCCACTTTTTGAGGTTCCAACACGGGAAATGGCTCGGAAACCCTATCCAAAGGTTCCCTTTCATGTTAGGAACCCCTTTGGTTGGACCCCCGTTTGGGTTGATATTTTGGACCCTTTGGCCCTTTGGAAGCGTAGACGCCGGAGCCCCGTTTTTGCACCTGTGGCATTCAAATGACATTTTATTGGCTTCCTTGTGATACCAAAGCGGCATTCCAGCATTCCCATCGCTAGTTCACTCGCATGTCCTTGGCACATAGTGGCACTGCGAATTTTCATTGGGGACCCCTTGCCACTTCGGGGATTTAATGGCGGCGCTGTGTTGTCTTCATGCAGGAAGCAGTTGTCAGGACCTTGGTACAACTGTCCGGGCACTTCTTTTCTGGGCTGCCCTCAGATCCCCCGCGAAAAGTGACTAATTTTTAGTGGCTTAAATGGAAACTACCACCAAACACTCAAAGCATCTAAAAAGCTAAGGAACCGGATGGCTGGCTCCGCCACCAAGTTTTTGGTGGGGGTGCGCTGCGCGCCATCGTGGAACTGCTGGCTTGGAGGTCGGGGGGTGGTTTCCCTTTTGCCCTCTACATGAACCAGCGGCTATCGCGAACCAATCCAAACCACCAAGTCATTACCTGGATGGCATAATTCGACCGGTGGATGGCAAGCAAAGGGCTGACTACACCACAGATAATTCTCTCATTCTGACTTAACTTGGCTTGAAAGTGCCCCCCACCCACATTTTCTAATTCTTGAAGCCCTTCTAGTGCGAGGGATACTAGAGCTGGATCAAACTGCCACGAATAGAAAATGATGGGCGCTTCCTAAAGAGGCCCTGCAAGCTGGTTGGCCTTCTTTCGGGTTGCCAAACACCGCCCAAAGGGGGGTCCATGTCAGGATGACATGGGCATCCCTCGGTGGCGAAATCTGCTCCCTTGGTAAAAGTTTGACTAACGTTTAGTGGTTTAATACGGAAAACCCAGTGGTTGGCCAAAAGCTAAAGTCCTGACATCCAAGCAAAGTGCAACAAAAAGCCCTAATGGACTCTTGCCATTGTTGCTTTGCACGGTGCGTTTCTCAACATGCCGCTGACACAAAACAATATGCTTCATTCCTGTTTCCAGTAAACACCAGCGCCAGTCCAATGCGCTTCGCCTCACAAGCAAACAGCCATCATGGTCATTGAACTCCCATCCCCAAGTTGCTCTCTGGCTTGTCCCAGGAAGTCTTGAAGTGGAATAGATCTGCGCTTCTTCAAAGCTGAATTGGGAACTCCCCAAGGAACATCGTTTTTCCACGCGGAAGCTGACAGGTCGGCTGAAAACAGAAGCCCTGTGCCAGGTTCACTGGGGGAGCGCTGTCTGGATCGACGGATGCGCACGGAGGGCACTGCCCCGTTTCAGCTCAACGCTTTGACTCTGCCAGGCTCAACAAGTCCGAAGCTGCTTCTGATTGCACGCCTTCAACTCAAACCCTTCTGTCCCTTTGATCAAACCAAAAACAGGACGGCGGCCACCAAAAATCAGGAAGCAGCTTTTGATCCCACCGAGAAAAGAAAAAAAAAAAACATCCCCGCCGCCAAAAAAAAACACGGAAAACTCGGGCCCCTTCAAATGAGTATCTTCCCTTGAAATGTACTCGCCTCAAACAGTTGCCCGAAATCCATGTCTGTCCCGTGCGCTTGTTGTAGATGTCGAAGGCTACAAAGTAGGCCGGTAGCTTGGTATAGGCCACGCTGTGCCGTGCCCAAAGCCACTCACCGAAGAGCACTTCCACCTCACCCCCGACCGGTGACTGGGGACGGTCAACTGGGAAAAGTCGGAAAGTCTGGGCGATGTATAAGGCTTTGTCTCTCGTCTTCTTTTCTTTTTGCGGGGAGTTTGGATGTCTGATCCATGGGAAGAAAGAAAGGGCGTCCTTCTTTGGTTGAGTTTACCAGGGAACCTTTCCCCAAAAAAAAGGAAATGGGCGCCAGTGGGCAACTATCTAAGGGTACCTTCCCCATTCCTTCCAGGGATCCCGAAAACCTCCGGAAAACCACCGGGAAAACGGGTGGTGCTTGAAAAGAACGATGGTTGAAAAGAATGGTTGGAATCAGCCCCTGGAGCTTTCGGTCACTGAAGGACTTGAGTTTGGTGCCAAAGGCCAAGTTCCAAGGAAAAGAAGGGCTGATTGAGCCATCCCCGAATGAATCAGCCCCTAGAAACTCGGGGATGGCTTAAAACCTTTTAACAAAAACCGTTGGTTGGCTAAGTTTACCGGGGAACCTTTCCCAAAAAAAGGAGGAAAAAGGCGCCCGTGGGCAACTCGGGAATGGCTGGAAAACTTGAAACCAAAAACCGACCAACTCGCTGGCCTCGGGCTCCAGCAGTTGGCACACCGCCCAGCCGTGCTCGTCCCACCAGGCATCCAGGGACTTCCACTGGGTGGCGTAACCGCTGGACACGTAGTGGGCGCGGTTCTGGAACAGCGGCTCGTAGCACTCCTCAATGAAAAAACTGCCATCCCACCAAAAAGCCATCCCAAACAAATGAAAGACCATTGAAAGCAGGGCTGTGGGGAATGACCACTTCTGTGATACAACAGAAAGGGCTTCCCAAACTCTATTTTGCTCATATAAAGGGGGATTCCCTTGTATCACAGAAGTGGTTGGAGAAACCCCGAGTAATCCCACAACCCTGATTGAAAACCTTAGTCTTGAAAGCAGCTTCCTCTTGCCAGTGGTGCGGTTCCTTCTCTGTTCACCTTAGTGCCCTCCGTGGAGACATAAAGGCACAGGATCTCAAAGGCCACGGAGGTCTACCGGGAGAAACGGGACATGAGAAAAACCACATCTGGGTCATTCGCCTGGGCCATGGGGCCAAGTCTTGACCTCTTGACCTTCGAAAATATGACCCACATGGCGCATGTATTTTTGAAAGGCACATAGGCGCCATGGCCACTAGAAGGACTTTGGCTTCACCTCGAAGAAGTCTTCAGAACGGGTTTTGGACCAATTCTCGGGCATGTGTTGCTTTAGCTCTACCAACATCATGGAGGTTCATGGTTATGCCGCCCATACTCCCCTTGATCTGGAGAGTAAAAGGGCACCACGGAGATCAAATAACAAAGACCTCCGTATGCCACCAAAAACACTTGTAGGCTACATGGGTGCCAACTGTTTTGTGCCATAGGGGTCTCCTTTTTGCGTCATCCTGTGTGGCATCGAGGACGGGGGAGAATTGACTTGAAAGCGCAACCTGTTGCGTGCAGCGGAGTACCCTGATGGCTCCAAAGTATATAACCCGTTGCTGGTAGCAAAAAGAGGGGCACTGTGTTTTCCCCCGGAAGATTGGGACCCCCCAAAAAAAAGGTGCAAACAAAAACTGGTGGGTGTCTCGTTTAGCTTTCCTTTAACACCACAACATAACCCCATATTTCTGCGCGAGTGCTATTTGAAGGTATGGCATGGTTTCAAACTCTGAGAACCAATGAGGAAGGGGGGATGCTTTTCGACCTCCCATACTTCCCGCAAGAAACAGTCTGAGGAAACACCCGCATGACACCTAAACGCTTCCCTAGCTGCGAATCTTCCCCAATATGCCGCCCAGTAAAAAGAAGAAGCTTGATGGCCACAAGCACCAGAAAGTCCGCGCAGCCAGTTCAATACCTTAGCCCAAGGCGCTGTCAACGAGATGCCCAAGTTGGCTCCATCGACCTTCTCCTCCACGATGACGACGGTTTGCCCGTCCTTGGGGCGGGATAGGCTGGTCCTTGCGGAAGAATAGATGCCACCGGTGCATGACTAGAACCAACATGGAATCCATCCCGGCACCCCCCGACTACGGCCCAATGGATGAGAATTTTCCCAAAGAAATGCTAGCAACACTACAGTTGTGTGTTGCGGGATGCTCAGGGACATGACTCCAAGTGACAGTGTGTCAGTGACACGCAGTGGCACGCACGTTCTATGTAGTGACATGCGTGGACGCGCGATCACGCGCGAAAGACACACGAGCGACGTGCAAGTGATGCAAGTTGCGCGCGGGCAGCAACGGAGACGCGCACGGTGGATTGGGAAAACGTGTTTGAAACACGCCCCACATCGCCAGCAGCACCTGTTCACACACGGCGTCCTTGTATTTTTCAAAGGAGAATGCTGGCGCTTGGGGTAAGGTTTTTGGGCTTGGTCTGGGGCCCCAAACTTGGTCATTGGTGGAACACTAGGCCGCAGGCCCAGCCGAGCAAGTTGTTCGTGTAGTCGGTGCGGCTCCATGCCCCTGTTTGAGCTGCTGGTGGGCGCTTGTTCTAAGGATTCTCGGTTGCTTTCTGCTCCCCTGCTAAAGTTTAACTTTTAGTGGTTTAGTAGAAAACCCATTAGTTGGCAAAAAGTTAAAGTCCTAACAGCCAAGCAAAATGCACCAAAGGATTGACAGGGTGCTGGCGCATGCAGTTCCGGTGCCGGTGCCGGTGCTGTTTTCGGGCGCTGTTTGGGGCGCCATTGGGGCTGCTTGAGGTGCAAGTGACGGGCGCATTTTTGTGAGATTGAGCGGATGGATACCAGCCTGGCCTATTGGGAAGTGGCGAAGTTTCCTTAACACGCCAAAATGAGTTGCAATCAGAACGCGGCCATAGCTCGGTTGCTTTCTGCTCCCCTGCCAAAAGTGAATAACTTTTAGTGGTTTAATACGGAAAACCCATTGGTTGGGTTTTCGAAAAGTTGTTCAGTCCTAACATCCCTTGGCAAAATGCACCGAAGAAGAGGTAGGCTTGTCTCAAATCAGCACTTGGCTCCCTCTACAAAAGATCCGGAAACAAACGATTCGGCGTGCAGTGTATATATGTGGGTATATAGTGTAGGTCTCTACCCAAAACCTGCAAAAACAATCACAAGGCCGAAGGATATCCACACCTGTGGCCTTCACTTCAGGCCTTGTGGCGCTTCCAAGTAGGTCACGCGGAACCCCCTCATATTGCTGGGGTGTTGCGTTTTTTACCCAAAGCGGGTCGCCTGAAAGCAAGACATACCCAAATGGGTCCCTGTCTCTTTTGCGGCTACCATTTTTCGCTCAGCTTCGTAGAACTCCTGGGCCTCCTTGTCGCTCAAGAGGCGGTCGGACTCGTTCAAGGCCTTAGGCTTGGTGCGATGCGGGTGTTGGGAATGAACCGATTTTGGGGATGCCCCTAGAGGAAACCATAGGTTATTTTGGTCTTTGGTGTTGCTTGTCTTGCTTACCCTTCAGTTGAGGGGAACACCGTTTTTGTTTCTTCTCTCCTAACATTATCACATTTGGACCTTGCTCTTCTTATATCACCTTAAACATCACTGATTTTCTTTTTTCGCGTGTTTGTTCGACATCGCCTTTTTGACGTCACCTTTCAGTGGCTTTTCAATCTCAGCCCATGTTCTCAGAACAACCTTTGCCGAAAAGGAATGAACCTTCAGCCCTCATGTCGTCGTCTTTTTGTTCGGCGGTGAGGTTCCCTTCGGCGATGCTTCTGAGGAAAAACCTCCGGGCCCGGCCTTGCCGTGGGTGAGGTCCATCACGTGCGGGGTCGTGGGGAACTTGAAGAAGCCCATCGGGCCTCGCGCGAAACCAGACGAAACGGAACGAATCGGTCAGAGCCGGCGGGCGAAAAAAATTAATGCGCCCCAAAATGGGACCATCGTTTTCTTGACCCCTCCCACTTCTTTGTTGACCCCCCTCCTTTTGTTTGACCGGAAAAAAAAGGGGGAGGTCCCCCCCCCCAAAAGAAAAAGAGAGCAAGTCTGGCTGATTCGATGGGGAATGAGTTCGAAGGACCCCAAAATAAACAAGCCATACGGATGACCCTTAATTCCCTAGAAATGATTCCATATCAATCAAACTCATACCCTATAGTTAGGATTCGGTGATGTTTGTCTGATTCGATACTCAAATGCCCAGTGGATTCCCCAAAAAGGAAAAAAACAGCCACCGGGCAAGGGGATACCACCGGGCAACTGGGTAGGAATGAGTTGGAATGACAACGTAAACAATCCCGATTTGGCTTCCCTTAAGTTAATCCCCTTCTGGTTCATTCCCAAGACCCGGAAAAGGTCATTTCCTGAGCACCAGCAAGACAATTCTCAGATGCAACTGGCTGCAAGAAAAAGGAAACTGGTTGTTAAACCCACAGCCAAAATGGACCCAAACGTTGAAGACTGGCTTGCGCATGGCCAGTCTTATGCCCAAGTCTTAGCGGCCAGGCTTATGCTTGCCTTCCGCGTAAAAGGCCCCAACACATCTCATGCAAGATCCAGCCAACGTGCGATTAAACCATATGTTGTGATTGTATGGTTGTGGCTCAAAAAACCGCTACCAAAATGATAGAACCGAGTAACAACGGGCAACTGGTGCCCCGCAAAGCCGATGTGCAGGGGGCTATGCCACATCCCACACATGGCGAAGTGGGCAGCGGAGTGCTGCGTGAGACAAGGGTGCCAACAGAGGTGGCACCCTCAGCCCAGAGGGCTCATAAAATCAGTGTGCCAGGCCAAGTGGCAGGGCCTGGACACCACACTGCACTGGCCACCACAAAGCGCCAGGCCAGAGACTCGCCGTTTGCCAGCTCAACAAAACCAGCAAGAACTCCACCACAGCTCCGAAGAGGTAGAGAAGAAGCACCACCGTGGACCACCACCAGAACAAAGTCCAAGCCCGAACGGGAAAAACAGCTCGGAGTACCTTCACCAAAAAAGCGTTCAGAGGAAAGAAGCAAGCCACGAACAGAGCCAATCCCCATCGCAGAGATTGGAGCATGCAAGGCCAGGGAATCCTACACGGGTACCACGAAGTGTAAGGGCAGCGCCATCGATCTGCAGAATAGGGCCGCCCCATAGAGCCGAGACAATGTAGACCGCCTGGTAGAAGTAGCCACCAGGAAGTGCTGAGAGAAGAGCAAAGAACAGGGCCCATCCCTGCATACAAAGATGGGCACATGCAATGATGCCCCCTCCAAACTGATCCACACCTCGAAGCCAGGGTGAAGTAGAGACAAGTCCCACGAAGTAAAGGAGCCAAGAGCTGGCCGAACAAAAGCAGCGCATCAGTCGAAGGAGTCGACAGGTGTATGAAAATCTTGAGGAGCCAGCAGAAATACACGACATACACCATACAAGCTCGATGAAGAGCTCGACGACAACCAGAGGAACAGAGCGGCCGCCAGGGGAGGCTGCCTTGTTGGACGCCTCACCCCTCCATGGAGAGGCAGCGAGGCCCAGGGGGCTCAGCTCCCAGAACCCAACGGCTCAGTGGCTCACTCTGAGCCGAGAGGGCTATAAGAGCACCTTTTTCTCCTGTAGTCTATTTTAGTAGGGGAACCCACCGCCAAAAAGGGGAGAGAAGGGCACCTAGCTGGGGGACCTAGTTCTCACTCGTGCCGGGCGCGAGTCGCCAAGAACTCCCGGCTCCGGATGGCCCAGCTGGGATGCCCCGCTGACTTTGGGGGCCTCGGCGCCGTAGCACCGCAGCAAATGATCCGCCTCCTGCGCCGCGCGTCAGCGCGCGGCTTTGTCATTCTTGTTTCGGACCCCGAAGGGAACGAGCCCTCTCTCATCGGTTAAGGCAATCAAAGGTAATCAAGACAAAGAGATAATCAAGGCAAATCAAGCAACCAACCGGAAGCCCGAATCGGCCAAAGAGGTCTGAGATTTCGAAAAGCCGCTTGCATGCGACAACTGTCCGTAGCTGGCTCGGTTTATTGGGGTCCCTCGTGTTTCCCTGGTGTTCAACCTCTCTGAGGGAGTGTCTTGTTTTGAGGCACCCTCTCTTATGGCTTTAAAGGGAAATCCAAAAGCAAAACAATCTGAGGCAATCAAAACACATCCACAAAGGATGTGGCAGTGCGCTCAGCTTTGGGAAAGCCAAGCCTGTGCTTGGCTCGCGCCGGACACTCAACGAACAGGACACGATTTCGGGTTGGCTCCGCGAAATCAACCAAGGGGCAGAACTTGGGCCTGATCCTTCCCAGGAAATTGCACTTCGGCCGATTCGATGGTGCTTTTCTTCCAAGGACAGAATTGCAACCCAACGAATGGTGCAACAATTGATATGGCCGTGGGTCAAAGCCAATGGTACCATTTTGGTTGGTAGGCGAATTCACCCATTTTAGTCTATAGTGGGGATTGGGATGTTCACTAGGGGTACGGGATTTTGACCCATGGCCATATGCTCCCCTAACAAACATACTCGCCTCAGGGCAGAACAATACTTATTAAGAGGGTCCGCTGGGTACCAGGAGGTTCTGCTACGGTTCTCATCCAAGTGGGTCCCCCCTGCCCCCTCTCCAAAAAGACGTTGAATAGAGCAACTTCCGAGCAAGGAACTAAAGAAACAATTATGTGTCTGTGTTTCGGACTTGTGCTGGATTCGAGTTGGTACAAAATCATAGTTACAGGATGCATACCCCCAGTCAAAAATCACCCCACTCACAATGATCTGCAAGTTCTCAAGTAACTCCTTCAAAACCTGTGCTTTCCCCACAAAAGGACCAAACAAAAACAGAGACGTGGGTTAAGTACCGGATAAAGCTTTTTCTCCTGGCGACCTCGTCTCACGTCTCGCAAATTAGAAACCCAACAAAACTGTCTGCTCAAAAAACCGGAATCCCCAAATGGGTTGCCCGATCAAGTGGAAAAACCTGGGTACCAAAATTCCTGCGGTCTGCCCTTCCGATCGTTTAATTTTGGGGGCCACCCAACTCCCTCACTCGCTCGCTCGCTCGGGGCTCTCCTGAAAGGTGTGGATGGTCAAAATCTCCTCGAAGCCCTCGGAAGGCGAAGGCAGCTCCATGGCGTCCTGTGGCGAGCTGCGTCGGCGGAGGGCTTTCTGCTCTGCGAAGAAAGTGTAACCTTTAGAGGTTTAGTGGAAAACCCATTTGTGCGGCAAAAGTTCAAGTCCTAACTTCCAAGCACAATGCACCAAAGTTGTTGTCTTTACTCAAGCGGGCGTTAGGCGTGGGCGGATGGTTTTTCAGGTTGTTTTTCCCTCAGACCAGTCCAAGCAGACAAAAATCCAATCCAGACCAAGGCTTACTTGAATCACTTGAAAAGGGGGCTCCGAACGGCGGTTTTTGTGTGTATAGCCTAGCCCAAGGGTTACAAGAATTGCTTGAAACGCAAAACCAGCTCCCCCCGGAGAAAAAAGACAAAAAAGAGAAAAAAACAACTTCCCCCCCGGAAAACACAAAGGAAGAAAAAAGAACATTCCCCCCGGAAAAAGAAGAAGAAGAAAAACAACGTTCCCCCCCGGGAAAAAACAAGAACCGCAAAACACAAAAAAAACAAAAAACGCTTTGCCACGCGCTCGAATCGACCTCTCCTTCATGCCGCGCACGGCGCCGCGCCCCCCACCGAAGCGGATGGTGGGGTGGTCCGTGCGCTTGGCCACACGCTCCTGCGCCGCCGGGCCCGGGGCGCGGCGAAGTTAGTGGCGGGGTGCACGAGGCAAAGGCGAAGATTAGGCCGGGGGGGGGGGGAAGTGGGTTGGTGGGGGGGGATCTCGTTTAATACTGTGGACTCAGTTGTTCAGTGACCCTGGAAAAAAAGTAGAACCTATTTTGGGGAAGACAATTTTTAGTGGAGCAGCCACCCAAAAAAAATGGAAAAAGGGGCCACTGAACAACTGAGTGTGGACACAGGTGTCCTTTGGTCGGTTTGGTTGAAAAAATAGAGGGCGATTCCTGGTTTACCTGGTGGTTCAATCAACTACCAAGATTCATTTAATACTGTAGGGGGTCCCAAGCATGTTGAGCCCAGATTCATAAACGCCTGGTTGATGTTGATCGGGAACTGTCCCCCTTCAGGACGGGAATCCTTGTGGACGAGACATAGGCGTCCTTTTTGGTTGAAAATAGATGGATTTCCCTGGTAGTTGATTGAACCACCAGGTAAACCAGGAATCGCCCTCTATTGTTCAACCAAAGAAACCAAAAAGGACGCCTATGACTGTTGATGGACGAAATCCGTTTCGCACCGTAAGAAACCATGGGTGAAACCACTGTTCGTTGGTATTTACAGGGAATCAGACCATTACAGGGCTTCTTAGGTGGTGCAGGATTTTCATCCACAGTATGATCCGTCACCGGGAGGCGTTTGCTGCAGCTTTATCAACCGAAGACCACAGTGAATGGCAGGGTTTCCCATGTTTCTTGCAATGCTCATTGTAGGACCTGCCGAGAAGAACAAGATATAAGCGTTGACCGCAAGCAGTGGCGTCAAGTGGTGTTTTTCTCTTGAGCCTCTAAAAATTGACCGAGCCTTAAGGCTAGAAACGTGTTGCCGCTTTTTGGCTTCCCAGCAGATCGCATTTGTTTGCACTCAGTTCTTGGGAGCAAACCTGTAAAGTTTCGCAGAAAGGAGGCATTCGAGGGGCTTGGGATGCCCTACCACTAACATATAGCCATCCAACGTATCAAGCAAACAAGATCAAACAACCTGTCAAAGGCCCAACCTTCAGGAAAACCCTAATCTTGGTTGCTGTTGACCCCCCTGCAAAAGGTGTTTAACTTTTTTGGTGGTTTAGTGGAACACGCCATTTCCCAACAAGTTAAAGTCTAAAGATCCGTTGCCCAGCAGTCGAGTAATCTGGGCAAACAAACAATTACCAACCGAAGACCCACGAAATGAACCTTGGGGCGTCGCAGAACAATGTGCCCCAACACATCTACTTACCCTCCCTGCTAACATTGCACCTAGAAAAATTGGCTAGGCCTACTTCGAAAGGTACCATCTTATTTGGAGGGGTGCCAATCTCCTTCTGGTGTCGTTGTGGAACAGGCGACTTAGCACCAAGCGTCAAATGCTCGTTACAGCCCAACTCACAAGAATCGCATGCGGCATACAAACGATGTATACCACGGTCAGAGCGACACAGCTCGACATGTTGGTTTGCAATGCGCTGGCTTTTGGACGTACACATTGAATATGTGCGCACGCCCAACTGCATTGTCTGACTTTAAGCCTTTGTAGTCTCATGGAGGCATGCTTTATGGCATGGATGCTTGATATGATATGACCATGGCAACAAGTAGTGTGATGCATATCGTTCCCAACTCTTTTCAATAGAGCTTTTTGGGGGGGAGGTCTTTGTATGATTGAAACATGAACAAAGCTACAAGAAACCGGACGTTCTTGGGGAGGGGGCTGCAGAGGCGAAGCACAAGGCTTCCATTTCCACAGGAGAGCACAGTGAAACATGCTCGGCAACTTCAATGGAAGTGGACCAAAGTTTGCCATCTTAAGGCCCTTAAGGCCCTTGCTCCCATTGCGGAAAGGCATGGTAGATCAATGTCCTCTTGGGACCCTCTGTCAGGTGCCAGGTTAGTGGGAGGTGTGAGTACCAAACAGGCTCACTAAAAAGACATTGTTTTTCTGGGAACTCTGTGAATGACCATCATAAAGCAACAGGAGATCACGGGTTCCCAAACACATCTGTATCGGGTGCATTGTAGAAGTACGTGCACATACGCTGGCATGCGCTCGGGCAGACGAGCGCTCGCCGAAATGTTTTACTTGCGCACATGTTGTGCATGCATGTGCATTTTTTCAGGGTGCATTTGCAACATCGTGGCACAACTTGCTGGCAGTATTGCAGTGCAACTGAGGGATTTCCGCACAGTTGCTTTCGTGCTTGTCTTTCGAACATCTCGCACAATCCCAGTTCCCCCCTCCCCCTCACATCCCGGAAGCAAACGGAAGCGGACCCTCCTGATATCTTCCCTGTAAAGCATGGTTGAGTGATTCGGTTTGTTGGTCAAACATGATGAAACTACTATTGGCTCAACAACCTTGGTCTTGTGAAACTACCACTGTTTCAACCACCTGCGTTTGGTGCCCCGTTGAAAGGGAAGCGGGTCTGGTCCAGAGAGGTTCGAATACGGGTACCAACTTTTTTTCTGTAGTCTATTTTAGTAGGGGGTTCCCCCTCCCAACCAAAAAAGGGGTCAGAAAGGGCACGATCCTGGGGGACCTAGTGCTGCACCCAGCCTTCCGTCCGCTGAAGCCCCGAAAACCCCCCCTCCTCGCACTCGGCGCTGCTGGCGGCGAAGTGGACGCACACGGCGCCCTTGGGGTTGAAGGCCAAACTCAGGAAGCACTGGCGGTCCGCCTTGCTCACCTGATAGGGGAGAAGTCAAACCCAAAAAAATGGCCATTTGGAGTTTCCCAGTCGACCTGAAGTCAAAGAGAAAACATGGCCACTAGGAGTTTCCCAGTTGCTCGGCGACCTGTTTGCTAGACACAGGATCGAAACTCTCTTTTGTGGTTGGCTGACAGTATTTCAGAGGGAAGCCACCAAGCAAAAAGGAAACAAGGGTGCCACTACTGAAGTCCTGGGGAGGTGCATCCCGAAATTGTAGATATCCAGCTTGGCTTCCTTTCAAACCAACCTGTAAAAACAACTCTAACACATGGATTGCGCGTTGTCTCCCTTAGGCGAATCGGTAGAGAAAGGCTGGTGTTTTGAGGCGCGGTGTTTTGGATGCCCTTGACGCCAAGGTGATGAGAACTGGCCGTCGCTCTGTTTGGTCGTGGCTACAAAGGAAGGAATCATGGTCAGCTGTCCATTTTCGAAGTCTCAAATTTAAAGACAGAACCTCAGGATCCAGCATCTGCTAAACCAGGAGCAACTGCAGCCTTTCTCAAATTGGCCTTGACTTCCCGCAAGCCACTACTTCCAAAGGAAAAGCGCCTATAGCCGCTATGATGCGAGAGTAGCATACCGCTGCTACTGCTACGACGACGACACTGCGACCGCCATCGTCACCACCACCGCCACCACCACCGCCATCAGCAGTTACTCCTGCTCGTATTTCTCCCGCTGCCACTATACCACTACCACAATGCCACTACCACCACCACTGCCACTTCCACTGGTACTGCCACTGCCACCACCACTGCCGCCGCCGCCACCGCGACTGCTACGTCATAGACGACAGTAGAGAGTCATCAGTAGTCGTCGTAGTCGTCGTACTAGTAGTAGTAGCAGCGGTGGTAGAAGTAATAATGGTAGTAGTAGAAGTCGTAGCAGTAGAAGTAGCAGTAGCAGTAGCAGTAGCAGTAGCAGTAGCAGTAGCAGTAGCAGTAGCAGTAGTAGTAGTAGTAGTAATAGTAGTAGTAGTAGTAGCAGTAGTAGTAGTAGTAGTACGGCAACTAGTTGCGAGCTAGCCTCTTCTCGTGTTTTCTTTATAAAAGCTTAGCCTTCAGCCCTGTCAAAAAACTCACGCGCTCTTTGCGCATTTGCATTCTCGCACCACACGTCATCTATCTCAGAGGCTAGCTTGCAATTAGTGAGTATGGTCCCATTCGCTAAGCTTTTATACAGAAAAGCACGAGAAGATGTTGTTTTCATACGTTGCTGTTTGAGTGTCAGGGTGGTGGCGGGCAACTTGTCGCAGGGCAGAATTAACGTTTTCGAGAAAAGGAGGGCATACTTGCTGGGAACGACGTGCGCCAAAGTCTTGCTTTAGGAAGAACGGTTCGACAAGCGTTTGTTGGGAAGACTTTGTAACAGCAGCGCTGCTTTAGGGCACTTTAGGTATATTGAGGACCTCCTGCCGGGAGACAGAGGGGCACATTCAATCTATAGGCACTGTCACGCAGCGCGTCAAGAAACTGTTCATCGGGACGACTCTGCAAACAACCGCGTTGCCTTTTGTAAATATTATGACAAACTGAAAGCGTTTTTCTGGCATCATGATGCGGGTGCCAGTTTTTGTCTACCAGAAACATTCAGTTTGCGATCCAAATTATGAGCAAACGCAAAAGTGCAAAACACACTACGAAGTACCGAATTTCCCAGACCAAAGCGTTGGTCTTTGGGGGAGGTCGTGCAATATGGCATGAACAAGAGATGTTGCAGAGCGATAAAACATATGGGGTGCAAGATTCTGTGAAAATAGTGTCTGGGAAGCTTGAATCTTGAATCCAAGCCGTTGGTTGTTTCGATATTTCAAAACCGTTGTGGGATGTCAGATCTTTTGGAGTTTCCAGAATGTTTTCTTTTCAGGAGTCCATGTTCACATGGATTGGCACGTGCGCCCCTTCATGCGTTATCCCGGCAGGTTTGCAGGCGGGATGTCAAGCCTGCCCCCGATTCTGGAGGTTCTTGGCCGTTGTCGTCGCCAAACAGAAGACCAGAGCCGCCGTTGCTGACAAGCCACACTTCCTCACAAAAGCACTCTTTCCATGCAATGTTGACTTAATTAGGATAAAAAACAAAAGAAGTTGGAAACGTGAGAAGCTCCAGAAAAACGAGCCTCCTTAGGTATATGCCCGGTTCTGAACACTCTTCTTCTGGATTTCCTCAACAATGTTGTGAGACATGTGCGTTTCGAACACGCAAACTCAAATCCGTTAGATCCATGAGTAGTGAGTTGTGGTTTGCTTTCTGAACTGTGAACGGGTTGAACGGCGAACTGAATTGCGTCAAAGAACTTAGATGGGCCGTTGGAGTGAGAGCCAATTTGCATTGCGCTGCAAGTGGAAAGGCTGGCGGGCCACCTTGGCTGCGTGAGAGTCCCTGACCGTTGGTAGAAAATTCGACTGGAGGGTCCACCAGAAATCCGGAGGCTGTGGCCACCACTGCGGCGGCCGGGTACCTTTTCTGAGGGGGCACAGGGCGGGCCTTCGCCGGGAAGGGGGGGGGCTTGGGGCCTGGCCTTCTTTGCTGGTCGGGCCTGCTCATCGGGCTTTGCTGCGGGCTTCTCCTTTGCTGCCGCTTCTGCCTTCTGCTTATTGGGCTCTGCTGCGGCTTTTGCCGTGAGCGGCTCGGGCTCTGCCGCTTTGGCATGGGGCTGTAGTCGCGGGCTAAAATCAAATCATGGGAGCAACCGGGCGTCGCCAAGCTCTTTTGGGAAACATGTCAGGGCCGCCAGAAGTGAAGAATCCTTGCATCGACGCGGGTCCTTGGCTCTCTCCATCGCACGCCTGCGGGGATCCTACGCAGAGCTACCGGCATGCGCATAAGCGAAGGGAGGTGCGCAGGACCGGCGCTGCTGTTCTTGGGCAAGCATCAAAATTGTAATAGGATGCTGCGCCTACTGTTATTACCATCACCGAAGCTCCCATGTGACGAGCGCTCTTCTAACATGGCACCTACTACCACTACTACTACTACTACTACTACTACTACTACTACTACTACTACTACTACTACTACTACTACTACTACTACTACTACTACGACTACAACCGCTTCTTTACTACTATTGCTACTGCTACTACTTCTACTTTTATTACTACTACTACTACTACTACTACCACTACTACTACTCCTACTCCTACTACTACTACTACTACTACTACTACTGCTGCTGCTGCTGCTGCTGCTGCTGCTGCTGCTGCTGCTGCTGCTGCTGCTGCGACTCCTACCCGTACTCCTACTCCTACTCCTACTCCTACTACTACTACTACTCCTGCTCCTCCTACTACTACTACAACTACTACTACAAGTACTACTACTGTAGACTACTAGTGTTGCCACTACTACACTACTACTACGACTACTACGACGACGAAGACGCGACGACGACGACGACGACGACGACGACTGCTACTACTACAAGACTAGTGAGATGCTGCTACTACTTCATCTTCTACCCACTACTACTGATTATTTCTGCCTGCCACCACCGCCGCCAGAGATGCATAGGCACATATCTACTGCGACCTGCACAGAGATACGCCCACTATCGTCACGGGAATCAAATGATGTTGTGGAAGAACAGGATATGTCCTTTTATTTCTCTTCGGTGTATCACTGAGAGCACAGGCAGCAATGTATTTCAGCTCACAGCTGTAAGAGTATACAAGAAGGGCCTGGAGCCAAAAATGGCTACGTGACACAAATGGTTGCATGGAGGATGGGATTCTGGCAGGATTGGGTGGAAATGCTCGAGAGCGCTTTGCCGCTGGTTCTCGCAGTGGTGAGGCCGGGACACGCACAGCCTGCCAGGTGGCGTTCTTGAGAACGCCTTGTAGTGGTAATAGTATTGGTAGTGATGGTGGTGCTGGAAGCAGTAGTCGTCGTAGTAGTGACAGTAGAAATAGTAGTCGTCGTAGTCGGGGTCGTAGTCGTAGCAGTAATAGTCGAAGTTGCAGAAGTAGTAGACGTAGCAGAAGAAGAAGTCGTAGTAGTAGCAGCGCAGCAGCAGCAGCAGCAGCAGCAGCAGCAGCAGTAGTAGTAGTAGTAGTAGTACGGGGGCAGGCTTCGGGGAATGCTTCGCGGAAAATATGCACACAAGCAAAGACGCAAAAACGAAGCACACCGTTGCACCAGGCGCACATGCCCCATTTACCATTGGCTGCCATTGGTTTTGGGGTGGCTGAAAAACATCTTAGATACAACTGCCAAGTCTGATCAGGCCTGGGTTGGAACATTCGGGTAAACAACCATTCTGAGGCTCTTTCTAGTCACGGGGAGGAATGGTAATCCATCCCCAGAAATTGGGTGGTTCGTTGCGTGTAACGCGCCAAAGTGGAGAGACAATTCCCAAGCTGGAAACAGTTCCTTCCCTTCTAGCCACCTCAAAAACAAAAAAGCCATGTTATCCAGTTATCCTCTGCAACACCTCCCATCTGGGCAAATGATAACGTCAGGTTTCGGGAGGTTCGCGACGTCAAGATGAAAGTGCCTTTCTTGATCCCACATGTTCAGATGGCAAACTGTTTATAATTCGCCCCACATTCTCATGTGGATTTGCCTTGCAATAGGGGACCCCCCAAAACATGGAAACGGTTTCCTTGCGGTGTCCCTTTCAAGCCACCTTCAAACCACAAAAAGGCTTTTCCCCTGTGCGCACATAAATCCATGTCTAGGAGTCCACCATTCCGGGTCCCTAATTAAGATTCATACCCGTGTCTCTCAGCACCAACCCAAAAAACGGCTCCTTCCATTCAAACCATCCTGGTCACAAAGTTGCACCTCCCAGTTCTCTCAGTTGCGGTGTTTCTTTTTGAGGCTACCTCCTTTTGCGGGAACCAACACGAAACCCTACATCCATGGGGCCCCATTTTGAGGGCCGCCTTTTTTTGAGACGCGCCCAACAGCCCGGGGGAGGGAAAACAGAAAAACAAGCCACACTCGTCCAAGTCCACCGCCCCGTTTTTGAGCCACGGGGCGTTGGTGCGATCCAACACGAGGCGCTTCCGGGAGTCCTTGGCGATGGCGCCGATGGCGTTCTCGAGGGCGTCCCGACCCGCCAGCTCGTCCTCGCGCGGCTCGCGCTAAAAGAGCCGCAGCGGTGGTCGGTCCGTTGCTCCGTCGGTTGGTGGGGTCTCGCGGTGATTCGGCTTTTCTTGGGGTACCTTCCAATTCCATTATTTCCGGAGATCCTTCTTTCCAGACAACCTCCGGAAAGCCAGGAAAACCGGGTGGTGTTTGAAAAGACCAATGGTTCAAAAGAACGGGGAATCCGGGGGAATCAGCCCCTGGAGCTTTACCGCGAGCAAGGCCTGATATCAGGCGTTTGTTCCTATCAACCATCTACAGAAAAATATGGATTCTTGGCTGGTATTTGGAAAAGCCCATTTCTATGAGTCTATGAGTTTTGAGTTGATTTCAAAAGGCACTGGTCCAAGCCGGAGTTCGTATGTGCCCGAGGTCATGGTTTGGGTAGTGGACATTTAGCCCCCATGAAACCATTCACAAGTATTCACAATGACATCCCAAAAAGAATATTATTCCCTCTACATGGCGGGGTGAAAGGCACCCCTCCACACGAAAAATATACGGTTATTGCCCTCATGAGACTTCCACAGCACCCCTCAAATATATACTCGTCCACTTTTTTTTCGGATGGAACAATCCCACCAACCCGGGGACCTGGCCACGGAGTGCACGCCTGGCAGAGGCGCTCGTAGCCCTGGTTCGTCTTCACCAGCTGCTCAGCGAAGGTACTCTTGCCGCTGCCTGGCAAACCTCGAAAGGCGCAAGGCCAAGGGCGAAGTAGATTCAACATATTCTAATACTTGAAACATAGAAAACACAAAACTGCTAAAAACAAAGTAATAAACATTGCCTGGTTTCTATGATTTTTTACAATTGCATGGTGTGCCCAAGCTACAGAAACACCAGATGATCATAAAATGATTGGCGGTCGAAGAATTCTTCGCCTGATACGTACTCCCCTGCAGATTGGCATGGAGCCGGAAAACCCGCCATCGTTCTGAAAGGAATATCCTTGCCTGGGGGCGTCTGAATCATTTCATCTTCGGAAGGCGTGGCTCCGGGCTGGTGTGGGCTTGGTTTGGGCTTGGTTGCTGGTTGGCATGTCCTGGGTGCGGGGTGGGGGTCTGGGGAACCATACCAGTCGGGGGGGTTGGGTGGGGGGGGGGTAGGGCGGGGACTGGGGACGGGCAACGGGATCATTCGCAAAACGCATAGCATTCGTTAACCCCGGATTCATAAACCCCCGGTTGATTTTGATCGGGGGGTGTCCCCTTCGAGTGGGGAATTTATTGACCACTTTGGGTTCATCACTTTTGGAGGGAACACCCCCCTAATAAATGGGACGGGTTTCTCCACCCAGCCACGCACCCATCCCCCCCTCCATCCATGGCCTGTCGCCTGCACATGCGTCTTCACCCCTTTCCGAGGCCAAGGAGCCCATGAGGAGCAGCATGGAGGGCTTGTTCACCTCGCTGTCGGAAGAAACAAAAGACTTCGCAGTGGAGAGGACCAAACCGGGGTCGCTCCAGGAAACACAGGGAAATGTTGCGCAAGTCTTGAGGGTACCCATTTGCTTGTTCTTTCTTGTCGTGTTTCTTTTGTTTTTGTTTGTTTGCTTTGTTTGTGTTGTTCCCCTTTTTTTTCCGGGGGGGGTTAAAGGGAAAACAATAGGACAACCACAATTTGGGAGGGGTCCCCTAAAAAATTGACCGACAAAAAACAAGTTGACGTCCTGTGGAAGTTCCAGTAAAACTTGATTTTTGGTGAGCGTGTTGCCAATATCCAGTAGAATTCTCGTAGGGTTCTTGGACTGCAACAAAGATGGAAGAAACCCAAGACTTTGTCCATAGTCTCTAGGGGTTGCGCATGCCACGTGTTCGTGGCACCCAAGCAGCTCTCAAGCAGCTCCGTTGACCGGGCTCAAAGCAAAAAATGCGTGCGGCAAATAAGGTGCTGTCTTCGCAAGACGCAGGCAGCCAGCGATCGACGAAAAAACGACCGGCGACAGAAACGGTGGACCTCAGCCCGCCGCAGGTGTCTTTGTTTATCAGGCCGGGGGTCACATGACGCTGGCTCTGGGTCACCTGTAATCACTCAGGGATCACTTCTTGGTTGCCAAGCAGAGAGCACCAAGGGTCCATTTCTTGAGCCCGGGGACTGAAACTGGTCCGATCCCAAGGGTGAAATCGTCTGATCGATCCCGGCCAGCTCCCAGAGCCATGGGTTCCCTGGCTCTGAGTCTCAGCGCCCACACAAATTGACCAGGTTCCTTTTATTTACCACCCCACTGGGAGACTCACTTTTTCCGGAACCCAACGCCCATGTTCAACCATGAACAAAACCATCCGTTGGGAGGTCCCCCAAAAACCTCAGTCGCCTTGGGCTTCGAAAACCGCTGGGAAAACCTATGAAATGGAAGAGTTTTCCATGGAAGCGGAGTCCCCACTTCGGATCCCATGAAGTTCTAGGGCAAACTGGAGTCACTTCCCAGTCGCCTTGGGCTTCCAGTCGAAGCTCGCCACCTGCGCCGGCTCCGGCGCCGCGGAGCTCGCGGCCGCGGAGCTCGCGGCCGCGCTGGCGCTGGAGGCAGCTGCGCCGCTGGCTCGCGCCGGCTCCTCGGGCCGTGTGATGGGTGATGGCAATGCTTGGTCCCTTTGAACCACCAGGTCCTCCAGTAGAGAGGTTAGAATAAGTTGGTACCAACATTTTTTTCGGTTTTGTCTATTTAGGGGAACCCTCCCAAAAAAAGGTAAAGGGCACTAATCCCTTCTTCCTATTAATCAACCTACCCCTAACAATAAAACTACCCCGAGCCGCGGCAAAAAAATCGGCAATACTAAATTTAAATTGGCCAATACTAAACCAATACTAAACTCTTGAGACTACACATGCTTTCCACAAAGCTCCCAAAATATGCTTATTAGGGGGCCCCCTCTCCAGAGTGTGTTGAAACAAGACGAACCACGTTTTCTTTGGCACCCAAGGGGGGTTGCCTTGTGCGGCAAAGTTTCATTATTTGGGGAGTTAGGGCTCTATCAAACCAGGAACAGCCTCATTATGGGTCCTTCAGACTTCAGGCGTCCTCAAATCAAAAGGGTTCCTCCAAACTGGCACCACTCTCTCTCAAACTGGCTCACTCGCTAACCCTTCCAACCAAGTTTTATTATTAGGGTATGTTTGCCCAACAACCTGAACCAAGCAATTAGTTTTATGAAACGGACCATGGGACACTCCCTTTCAAAGTTCTTACTTAAAAGTTGCAATCTGAGCAGTGTTTGCTCCAAATCAAAGGAGATCCGTTTTCCAAGTCCAATACTAGGGAGAAGCGATTACTGGGGAACCTAGACCACAATTCAACACATGCCCGAATAACAAACTCTTTTTTTCAGTGGCGTCCCTTGAAAGAACCAACACCATTCAACCTATGCCCCGAAAACCCGGGGTGTTCCATGTGTAGCCACAAAACAGTTCAACACGTACCGCAAACAAAATAGGCATTATCCATTTGGCGAAACAACACACTTCCGCCTATGACACGAAAACCGTGTTCCCTTCAAAGAACCACAAAACAATTCAACCCATGCCTCCCCCTCGCCCAATGTGTTCCTCTCGGTTTCCCTTTCAGCAGTCCTGGGAATCGAGAGCTAATGAAAAATTTCCCCTCGAGGGGGCGGTTTCTTGGCGTCCGCGAAAAGTGGCCGTAACTTTTCGTAGGGGAACATATGAAAGCGTGCCCAAAGCTGGAAATAACGGCAACTTCTTGGGACCTTGCCCTGTGGAAATCCAAAGGTCAAAAGGTTGATTCGCTTTGGGCAAGTGAGATCACGGACAGGATTGTTTTTGAAAATAGGGGACCACTTTTTGGATGGGTTTGGGAAGCCAAGAGCAAACCACCTATACCTGGCGGGGTCCCCCAATGTGGAAAGTGGTTGCCCCATTTCTTTTCTCAACCCTTGTTTTCTTCGATTTCAGGGGGCATTTGAAGTCCTTTTGGATGTGGAATCAAGGATCGTCGGAAGAAAGAGAAAGTGCTCCTGGAGGCTGCATTGCAGGCATCCGTGCTTTCCTCGCCCTTCCAGCAATCATGGACAGCTTCCAGCAAGTGAGGACTGGTTGCCATGCCCGTCAAGAAGCAACAAAAAAGGGGCCTACAAATGCCGAGTGGCCTTTGAAAAATCAGTTGGTTACAAGAATCTTCCGAAACTCCCAAATTTGGTTGCCCATGCGTTTCCTGTGGAGCCAACCCTGCCATTTCCCAAACAAACCTATAGCATACCTCTGCCCAAACCGCCCGCCTCGCTGTCGATCTTGAGCAGCTCCTGCCTTGGGGCAGCCCGTAGGACGCCCGTAGGACAAACGTAGGTCTAACTACCCCACAACCACCGGTGATGTCGTTGGATGGTATGGGGGTGTCTTTGAACTTGTCTTTTTTAGGTTTATTTGGGCCATGGATGGGCTTGGTTGGACCCTCCCAAAATGGATATCGCAAGGGCGTTCCTCTTGGGGTCGAATTGGGGCTTGCCCGGGTGCCCACTTTGGGATTACTTTAGAGATTAAACGAAAACCAAACCTTTTGCTATGGACGTGGGTAAATTGGTGAGCCCCCCTTGTCCCTCTGAAATGGACCCAACCTCATGGGCGTTTGTCCTAGCTTTGGAGTTGGGACCCTGTTTGGGGCTTTGGAGGGGAACGGTTCCAAGAGGTTCCCATGCTAAGGGTCGGTTTAGGGTTGGAAGCCCTTTTTGAGGGTGCCCTTTTGGGCACGGCTTCAAAGGGAACAAGAGGACTCTCTTTTTTTTGGAGAGTCGCTTTTGGCAGTTGTTTTGGGAGGGGATTTTGGCGGTTGCCCTCTACAACTTGGGCACTTTCCCACCATAAGCAAAATGCAATAAAAGTTCCCTCAAAACAAGGGTCCTCCAAAACAATTAAAAAAAACCTCCGCACCCTACCAGATGTGGGCTTGTGTCAAAGCAAGGGAGCCCCCCCCTATTTTCCTGTACCCCAACCCCCAAAAAAGTACCTCAACAACAGCTCTTGCAGGCAACCCAAAAACCTAAGAAAAAGGTGGCTTGCACTCCAAGTCCTGGATCCACCTCCAACAAAAAAAAAAGTCGGGCCTCTGCCGTTCGCCGGCTTCTTTCCACCCCCCTCCCCCCGGGTTTGGCGCCATGAACGCCTCTCCCACCGCCCCTCGACCAATCGCTCCACCGACGCGACGACCTCGAGCGAGCCGCTGCAGGGCGTCGTCCTCCGGGGCCAACTCGAGGCCCTGCAGCGCGGCGTGCCGGGCGTCCCCGAGCTGGCCCAGCAGACGCAGACTCCGCGCCAGGCCCAGAAACGTCCGCGGGAAGTCCGGCCTACCAAGGGGGGGGGGAAGCACGGATCCCCCCGAACATGAACAAATAAGCGCGTGAGGTGTTTTTTGTTTCTTTTTCAGTTTGTGTTTTCGCCCCCCCCCCAAAAAAAAAAAGAAAGAAAGACGTCCCCCCACAAAAAGGCAACCGCAAATGGCTCAAATGGTTCCCTGCCCCCCAGTGTGTCAGGAGATTTTTGCGGGTGGTGTGTGTTTTGTTTGAAGGGGGACCCCTTTGGTGGACATAGGATTCATGCCCAAGCACTTTGGAGGTTCCCTATTACGATTCACAGTCGAACAAGAGGTTCCCTTTGTTGATGTTTCTGGAAAAAGGGACTCTGAAAATGGTTTGGGTGAAAGGGTCGACATCTACAAGGCGCTCAAATCGGATTTCGGACCCCCTTTTGGTATTAGAAACTGACTTTGGCTGTTTTTCCCAGAAGGGGAATTCCTCCCCCCCCCCCTCATTTGGTCAGGGAGATTCCCAAAACCCTTGTAGTGGGTAGCCAGAGAAGTCCCACCTTTTTGGCAGATTGGCGATTGCCATGTTTTCCCCAATGGTAATCCACTGAGGTTCTGGGCTGTTGGTTTCCTTTTGAGAAATGGCGTTCTTCTTAAGAGTGGGGCGGTTCTGGAACCCCAAGATGTCAGCTGGGGACAAGCAAGAACCCCACCTCGGAGCTACAAAAACCTGTGCTTTCGGCAGCCAGCCACTAAACTAAACATGAGCGGTGAAGGCAAGTCACCCTCCATGGCGCTCAGTCCGGCGCCTCAGCTTTGCGGCCTTCCAAAAGAGCTCCGTGGCCTTCTGAAGCTCCTCCAGCCGATGCGACCCCATTGCCTATTCCGGCGGCCAAACCGAAAGCACAAAACAGGCATTGGGGCTTGGAAAGCCAAGTAAGGCCTCTCGCAAAACTCATATTTACCCTTTTTTTGTCCAACGAAACATCACAGTGTCCGTGAAAGCCCCCGAGAAAATCAGACGACCCCGACCTTGGACTGCCAATCGCTCCTGGTGGTTCTCCCCTTTCTTCTGGCCCGTTTTCAGCGCCTCCATGGCTGCCGTCGCCTTCTCCTGGGCAGAAAATCCCTTGCGCGCTTGCATTGAAGACCCGCAAAAACACCCTGCAAAAGGTAGCATTCTGGGAACAAAGCAAAAGAAAGAAACTGGATTTTACGGCTGCCTACTCGGCGCTGGTTGCTGCAAATGAGCTGCAAATTTGGCCGGCTCTGGGAAAACAGAGCTAAGCATCTCGTGCTCAGTCGGTTTTACATCCTTGCAATTGAAATGCTTCATAGAAGCCATGTCCATAATCCAATGAACTGGTGATTGAGCATAATAATACTAGTATTAATAATAATATTCATAACAATAATACATGATAAAACCAATAATAATAACCAATAATACTAATGTATAATAATAATAATAATAATGGTGATAATAATCATAATGACAAAATAATAACAATAACAATAACAATAATGGTCATGATAATAACTATAATAAAAACAGTAATAATGATAGTGATAATAATAATGATACTCATAATAACAATAACAATAATACTAATAATAATGATAATAATAATAATAATAATAATAATAATAATAATAATAATAATAATAATAATAATAATAATAATAAAATAATACTAATAATAATAATAACAATAATAAGAATGATAAATAATACAATCAATAATGATAAAACAATAACAACAATAATAATAACAATAATAATAAAACAATAATAATCATGATGATAATAATAACAATAATAATAATTGCATGTACTTTCCGTGCACTTGCGAAAGTGACGACGCCCTTGGAGAGCCCCCCCCCCAAGCGGAGACGCCCTTTCTGTCCCCCAAGTGTGCAGCTTGAATTGGTTGTGCTGATACCCCACCAGAACCTTGCAACATCTCGGCCCAAATCCTCCTTTTAGAGTTCCTCCCCTTCAAAAGGCGGCACCTGGATCCCAGGGGGCCATGTTCGCAGACTCCCCCGAGCCCATTTGTTGGTTTCAACAGTGAGCTTCCGAAAGGGGATGGCAACTCTCAGCCAAAGGCACGCAAATCCGCAGAGTTTCCACGGTTGAAACCATTTTTTGGTGGACTCGACTCCTTCCCTTGGGTTTTTTTCTTGCTATTTACCAATGAAGTTCGACTCATTCCCTTGGGTCTTGGTACCAAATGCCTCGAATCCTTCGGGTTTCCGCCCGCTTCGGCGCCCAAACCCGGATCGCCCGCGGCCCGGCGTCGGC